AAGTTGATCCAGTCAACAGTAAATAGAATAGAATAGAATAGAATGGGAATAGAGTTGGAAGGGACCTTGGAGGTCTTCTAGTCCAGCCCCCCGCTTAAGCAGGAGAACCTACACCATCTCAGACAGGTGACTGTCCAGTCTCTTCTTAAAAATCTCCAGTGATGGAGCACCCACGATTTCTGGGTTGATTGTCCTCACTGTCAGGAAGTTTCTCCTTAATTCCAGGTTGCTTCTCTCCTTGATCAGTTTCCAACTATTGTTTCTCGTCCTTCCATGAACAACCTGGCCCCCTCTGCCTTATGGCAGCCCCTCAGATACTGGAACACTGCTATCATGTCACCCCTATTTCTTCTTTTCTTTAGACTAGCCAATGAAGCAGACAGTTCCTCTGTCGGCCATCGGATCAGTTCGTCAAGGCTCTTTTGTTTGAAAGGCAGACAGAAATCTCTTTCTTTTCCTTTTGTTTGTTTCCTTGTCTGTGTTTTTGTGTTTCCCCCTTCAGCCGACAGCGGCACCCACAAACCCCATTCTCAGTTGCTTGCCATTCAAACGCTGGCAGGTAGGCTAGGCTTTACGTGAGCCACCACGCACGGATGGAAACCTACCAAGCCGACATCAGGAAAGAGATGAAGAGCAGAGAAGACAGTTGGGAAGACTTCATACATGCAACTGCAGCCAATTTCCACTCCACGTGACACGGGGAGAGTTGCTAATGAAAGCCACTCTAGCAAAAGACCGCCTTGTGCCGTGTCCACACAGGCAGTTGTCTCAGCAAAATACAAAGAGCTGTAAAGGTAGGTAGGTAGGTGAAAGAGTTGAATAGGCAAAGGAGGACATGATTGATTAAAAAAGAGAACAAGATGCTGGGGGGGGGGAGTTCGGGGGAGGGGGGGAAGGACACACTATTTAACTTTCTTGGCATGTACCACAAATATGACAGCAAAAAGCTGCAAGGAAATGTAGTTAGACCTACGTGCATATGAAATTACTTTTTTCCAGCATCGGAAAGGCTGCTTTTTCACTCCCAATATTTTTCCAAAGAATCTTTAATTTCAAGAACAAAAGTCAGCAATAATAGAGAATCCACAATGGCACATTTTTCAAATTTCACCATAGAAACCTACAATGAGTGTTGGAATCTACAGATTACAGCCATCTGAGATTTGACGGAGCCAGGATAATAATAATAAATAATAATAAATAATAATAAATAAATAAATAATAATAATAATAAAAATAATAATAGAGTTGGATGGGACCTTGGAGATCTTCTAGTCCAACCCCGTTCAGGCAGAAAACCTATACCATTTCAGACAAATGGCTGCCCAGTCTCTTCTTAAAAACTTCCAGTTTTCACAACTTCTCGAGGCAGGTTGTTCTACTGGTTAATTGTTCTCACTGTCATGAAATTTCTCCTTAGTTCTGGGTTGCTTCTCTCTTTGATTAGTTTCCATCTGTTGCTTCTTATCCTGCCTTGAAGCCCAAGTTGATTGCTGGAATCAGAAAATAAATAAACTAATCTTAATCTAGTCGGACAGCCGATTAAAAAAAAAGGAATAGGCAATTTAGAAGACCATAATACACGGAGGTTTGAGTGATTATTGTTGTGAAAACAGTCCATTAAAAAAAAAATCCCCAAGACACTCAAAAAGCTGGGCAATATTCAAGGCTCTGCTTTCCAGAGGACATAAAAGGGAAAACACATCCTTTTTCCTAGGCGTCTGGTAATCCTATTAAAGGGTGGGTTTGCGTATGCATGTATGTGTCTACGTACTGTGAGAGATGACACAGACAGATTTACTTGTAGTTTCCTTAATACGTCACAGTTCGTGTAGTTCACTGCACGGTGCCACCAAAGTGACGCTTATTATATTTTCTTGTCTTTTCTTTTTTTGCAGTCTTAACAGTCCTTATCCAGCGTCGCAAGGAGTGAGCCACGTTGCAGTAAAGCTGCAAAAAAAAAAAAAAGTTGTAAGATTAAAACCACAACCTCACAGGGGGGGTGAGCCACGTTGCAGTAAAGCTGCAAAAAAAAAAAGTTGTAATTTTAAAACCACAACCTCGCAAGGGGTGTGTGTGAGCCACATTGCAGTAAAGCTGCAAAAAAAAAAAAAGTTGCAAGATTAAAACCACAACCTCGCAAGGGGGGANGTGTGTGTGAGCCACGTTGCAGTAAAGCTGCAAAAAAAAAGTAAAAAAAAAAAGTTGCAAGATTAAAACCACAACCTCGCAAGGGGGGAAAGGGGTGAGCCACGTTGCAGTAAAGCTGCAAAATAAAAATAAAAAAAAAATTGTAAGATTAAAACCACAACCTCGCAAGGGGTGTGTGTGAGCCACGTTGCAGTAAAGCTGCAAAAAAAGAACAAAAAAAAAAAAAGTTGCAAGATTAAAACCACAACCGCGCTTCGCCCCCCGAGTCAACGAACGAGCCATTCGCGTCTGAGCATGCGCGAGCAAGAGTCTATTTTAAAAAAAAAAAAAGTCCACCGGAGACCCGATTTAGTATGCCACTAAACTCCGCCTCTCTTTTGCCCAAGCAGCCAATCAAGTAGGAGGGGGCGTGGCCGGCACCCTGGACCAATTTTTTTTCCGCTTCCGGGAACGACACGTGCGAAGCCGGTTGCAGCCGGGTAAGGTCAAATGGGGAGCTGATATGCGGGACTTGGGGGCAGTTTTGCGAGTCAGGAATAGTTGGGTTTGGGAGAACGTGGGGAATTGGCCGTGGGGCTGTGGGTAGGAAAGGGGCAGCCCTCAAAGAAGGGAGGAGGAAGGACCCTGTGGCTTTTAACAGCTAGGTCATTAATTGAAATGGTTAAATAAGTTGTATGAACAGTCATGGCTTCCTGCTTTAGAACAACTGAATACTGTTTTTCCGTTTGCAGATAAAACGCCTTTTTTTTCCTGTCCATCGACTTCCTTATTTTCAGACCAGAGACTGCTCAATTCACATTATTAATACTTAAATTTCGTTGTGAGTTACACAGTGACAATAAAGATATTTCTATTCTGTTCTAACTGGCTCACATCTTTTCTTTTGAGCCTTTATTAGCTCTCTTTTTTAGCAAGTTCTGGAAAGCTCCTCCGTTCTATTTCCTGGTTTACAGGGTTTTTTAAAAAATAATTTATAATATAAAATACAAAAGGAAATAGTAGGAAAGATAAGGGGGGGGAGGAGAAGTGTAGAAAAGAAGAGAGAAAAGGGGGGGGAGGTATTGACTTTCAACTCCCTCTGCGGCAGTGGAATAAAACAGTAATATCAAACCTCAACTTTTTTTACTTTAACATAATAGTATAAACTAGCCTTTTCTATAACAACAAATCTACCTAATTGGTAAAACCCAAAATCAAAGTTTCATTTTTTCCCCCCATCTCAAGCACAAAGTCTGGGTTCCAAGTAAGCCATAACCTGGTTTGGGTGACTGGGGCTTAATTTCTGTAAAGCCCATCCATTGTCTGTAAATCCTGGATTGTGGCCTATAGGATCATGGTCATAGGAGATGGGAAACGTAAGAAGAGATGAAAGTCTAGGGAGATTCTCAGTCATTCAGGTCATAGTTACCCCAAAGATGCTTTTTCATGAGGCAACTGGACTTTCATGTTTTTCTTTGAAGACTTAGGAAGCTTCTTGGATGAGAAGCGAAACGTCTTCAAAGAAAAACAAGAAAGTCCAGTTGCCTCATGAAAAAGCATCTTTGGGAGAAGAAATGAAAGGTGAGGCCTGGCTGTGGAATGGTTCTCAAGCTTGGCAACGTTAAGATGTTCTCGGAATTCCTCAACAGGGAAATTGTATCTGGGAATTGAAATCCACACATCTTAAAAGTTGCCGAGGGTGAGAAATACTATTTCTTATGTCCCTTAAAAAGAGAGAACAGCATGGGATAGGAATGTTTCTTTGTTGTTTGCTAAGTGGCCCAAAATTGCCGTGTAAATTTTGGGCCTAAGTATGTCATGTTGGTTTGTAACTTACTTTAATCGTAGCTGAATGCTGGCTGATAAGTCTCAATAAGCTTTTTATACTTTATAGAACTTGTTTTGAAGTCATACAAGATGCAGGTCTTGAGTGTTAACAGTTGCTTCTTTTTCCTTCTAATATTTTAAGTGCAGTGTTTATCATGCATTACAGGCCATTTCTCTTAGGAGGTAGCAGTTGTCATCGCCTACAAATTGGGCTTTACCTAAGGAGTTTTCAGAATTATAGAGTGCTTCTCTTGGGAGGTGCATTTATGTTCTTGTCTGGTCTCTGGAAGCTGGAAAATTATTATTACTATTCTCGTCACTATGGAGATTTTTACTTATTTAAGGCTGCCTAGTACTTGAGTAAATCAATTTTCTGGAGTCTCATATTGCAGTGAATTATAAGCTAATTAAACAGACTAAATCTGTTCTGCATAAACTACAAAAAATCCAAACTAGCCTTAACAACTTATGATACTGTAGCTTTTAACAGCTAGGCCAGGGATAGGCAACCTTGGCTCTTTTATGTCTCGTGGACTTCAACTCCCAGAATTCCTGAGCCAGCCATGCTGGCTCAGGAATTCTGGGAGTTGAAGTCCACGAGTCATAAAAGAACCAAGGTTGCCTACCCCTGAGCTAGGCCATTAATTGAAATGGTTAAATAAGTTGTATGGACAGTCATGGCTTCCTAATTTTGACAATGCTTCATACCCGATAGAAAAGTTGAATATTGTTTTTCCATTTGCAGATAAAACACTTTTTTTTCTATCCATCGACTTTCTTATTCTCAGACCAGAGACTTTTCTCAATTCACATTATTAACTGGCTCACATGTTTTTTCTTTTCTTTTTTTTGGTAGGATGTCTTCTAGCACCAAATTTGTGCCAGGGGCGATGAGCCCAACAAAGATCAACCAGGTAGGTAGCCTGGGAAAGATGAATGTCCCGCCTGTCAAATGCCCCTATACCAGAATGGATCTAAGCCATCATCTCAATCAACTTTGTTCGGATGACAAAGCTGGCATTCAGAAAAAAAAGAAAAGCCAGAGGCTCCAGCGCTACTTGATGCGCAAAGCACTGGAGAAGAGTGGACACCTGGCAGCCAGAACCAAGGAGACGGGCCTCGCAAGGACCAGAGAGGTCTCTGAAATGTCCGGGGAAAACGAAAGTAAGCAGTTTCTCCAGAAGGATGTGATGACAACTCAGGAGAATCCTCCCACATTTGGTGAAGCTGTGTCCATTTCCTCTGAGGACCTAGCCAGGCAGCCATCGTCTTCCCAAGATCTTCAGAACCTGCTAACCCGGCCCAGCATCTCAGAAAAAAGGTCTAGTTCCTTCCTGCGTCCGATGCCTCAGAAATCTATGAAACGTGTGGCCATTGATTGTGAAATGGTAGGCACGGGTCCTTCTGGAAAGACAAGCGAGTTGGCACGCTGTACGGTGGTGAGCTATGACGGTGATGTGATTTATGACAAATACGTTCTTCCAGAATATCCAATTGTAGATTATAGGACTCGCTGGAGTGGCATCACCTGGAAGCACATGAGAAAAGCAATTAATTTCAGGATTGCGCAGGGTGAGGTAAGCAAAAGGGGATTAATTTAGGAGTAGGCTCCATCCATACAATGTGAGGGGTTGAGAGATGCATACTAACAATTCAACCGGAATCTGCAATAAAATGCAGAATGGTAGGCAAGCAACAATGCTTTTCTCCACAGTCATAGCACTGTAAAGTTGGAAGGACCTATTTAAGTTAGTTCAGAAATTAGACATGGTTTCCCTAAGTGTTCCTACACATTTTCAAATATCTAGATTAATTGGAAAAAATCAATTAAACGGCGAGTGGGTGAGTGGATGGATGGATAGATATCGATAGAAGATAGATTGATTGATTGATAGATATGATAGATATGATAGAAAATATAGAAATAATAGATATAATAGAAATTATAGATAGATAGAAATGATAGATATAATAGAAATAATAGATAAAAATAGATAAAAATAATAATGATAGATAGATGATAGATTAGAAATAGAAATAATAGATCGATAGAAATAATAGAAATGATAGATATAATAGAAATGATAGATATAATAGAAATAATAGATAAAAAGATAGATAGATAGATGATAGATTGATGGATGGATGGATAAATGGATAAATGGATAGATAAATGGATAGATAAATGGATAGATAAATGGATGGATGGATGGATTGGATGGATGGATGGATGGATGGATAGATAAATGGATAGATAAATGGATAGATAGATAGATAGATAGATAGATAGATAGATCTTGATCTGCTTGTTCGAGTGACCTACAATCGTCCTTTCCTGAAGGCTGTGGCGAATTAATCTTTTTCACCTTTCTAGATCATACAGATCTTGAAGGATAAAATAGTGGTGGGCCATGCTCTCCACAATGATTTCCGAGCCTTAAAGTACTTTCACCCCCGAGCCTGGAGGCGCGATACAAGCCACTGTCCTCTGCTGAAGAAGAAAGTGGCCTCATCCCTGAAGCCATCCATGTCTCTCAAGAACCTAGCTCATCAGCTGCTACACAAAAACATCCAGGTAACTCATCGCCACCTTTCATTTCCTCAAGAGTGCTGAAAAGCAGAATTACGCCGCAAAACCCTAGCATCCTTCGGCTGCTTTACATCTGAAAGTTGTTAAGTGCACCTTGTTATTTTGATGTGAGGGGGGGGTTGCAGTTCAAGGGATATTCCTTGAGACCCTTAAATATCCTGTAGTGCATCTTTGGTTCCTAGTGAACGTAATTATGCGCCGTGATTGCCCAATCGCCCTTTGGGGGTTTAGCAAATGTATGTATGTATGTATGTATGTGTGTGTGTGTGTGTATATATATATATATATATGACTAGTAATGGAACTAAAAATACGACTCTTGGGTATGTCCATAATGTAGCAGAATAACCACAATCACCAAGAGGAAATTTTAAAATATTTAAAAGCGATTAAAAATTAAAAGCAATTAAAATATTGTTAAAAATACAGGCAACCAAGCTTTTGTCGGGGTCTCCCGACATCATCAGGGTTGATAAGGCGGTTTTAGGGAGGGTTTATATGCCGCTTCCAAGTGCCTGCATCCGGCTGCGCGATCGTGTAACCGGGCCCAGGTGTGTGCGCTCCTGCGCTGTGGATGCCTTCCTTCTACCCGCGCGTAAATCCTTTACTTTCCTTTTCTGTTTGTCACCATGTGACCCTTGAATATCCTTATCAGGGACAATCGGGGGTTCTTTCCTATGCCTCTCATTATATATATATAATCGTCTCTTATCACCCAGCAGCGATGTGTTTGGGCGGATGAATTGCTAAGGCTAATTTTGCTCCAAAGCCTTATTTTTTTTCCCCAGTGCCATTGTAACTTGGAATGGTTGGTAAACAAGGATTTACTTGTAATGTTCTGTGGGTTTGTTTGTTTTTTCCTCCAGGTTGGCAAACGTGGGCATTCATCTGTTGAAGATGCTCAAGCTTCTATGGAGCTTTACAGATTGGTAGAGTTTCAATGGGAGGAACTGCTGACTCCACGTCACCCCGCAAGCCTTTCAGACACCACCCTGGACAGCGATACTGATAACAGTTGCTACATGGATGATCAATATTGGCCCAAGGACCTTGATGTAGACTGCAAATGAAAGTTCGGGTTTTAGAAAGGAATTGTAAAGAAATTACCCGGCCATTCTGAAGAGAGAGCTTGGTTTAAACATGAGGATTTGTGTCTTCCAGCATCATCGAAGCAGTATTATTGACATTTGTTTTCCTCAAAGGGTGTAGATGCCAAAGGAAACCTTGAGCCCAAATAAGCTTTTTCAGTTTTTGAACCTTTGAGCGTTGTGCCTAAAGGAACTCCAGCTTTAAGCCTTTGAATGTTGAGGGAGAGAAGTTTATCCATTTCTCAATTCTTTTCTTGCTGAATGAATGATTATGAGTAAACTGCTGAATCAGCCTAGACCTGGGGGGAAGGAGGGAGGGATCCTTTTCAAGCTGATTGAATTACTTTCCTTTTACTCCAGGATTTACTGTCTCATAATGCTGAGTGAAAAAAACAAGGTGATGCGTATCCAGTCTTAATGCTGTGGAGCGGTGTAGATGTCTACTTCGTGTGTGTGTGTGTGTGTGTGCGTGTGTGTGTGTGTGTGTGTGTGTGTAACATTCCAATTGATTTACGTAGTATTTTTTTTCTTCTGTGTAAGCCACCTAGGAATACGTTCATATGCTGAAATGTAACCAGAACCATTGGGTCACGGTTACATTCAGTAACACTTCCTGCCGGGATAATAGCTGCCAAAAAAAAAGTGTTTTTATCCCTAATTGTGTTAGTGATAGGCAAATTTGCATATTTTGAAGGTTTCCCTGTTGATGAGTACATCCCAAGGGAGTTTGGGACCACTTATGCAAAACATTTGATATCTTTCTGCAGCAAATTCCAGTTTTCTGCCTGGAATAATAGAACTCTTGAGTTGTTGCAAATTCCAGTTGAAGGCTTATGATGCTGAACACACATACACACAAAAAAAGGGGGTGGGAACCATACAGATGATCAAAGCTAAACTAGGCTTTCCAGAATATTAAACAGAAGTAGGAATTAGCCGTCTCTTAAAACAAGTATGAGTTAAGCATTGAGCGTGAAAAGTGCCTCTCTTGTTCAATCATACTGTTCTTCCATCTAAAATCTGAAGTTAGAGCAGAGTCATCTTCATTGCTTTCACAGTTGCTCATGACTTGGGGTTCAAATGGAAAAGCTCACCCAAAAGTCTCTGGTGCCTTCATCAGATTGAGTCAAAGCTCTCTTTGTTTAGAAATGGGAAAGCTGCTATGCTTCAGAATTAGTTCCCAGCATCCCACATGTTTGGAGATATTGCCTGGAACTTCTGAGGTTGATAGTTCATTTGGAGGGATGTGTGCGTGTGTGCTGTCTTGGTGTGATTCCTCTACCTGAAGCTGGATTGGTGACTAGTTAAATTTCTTCCATGCACCTATGCGCCTTTAAATTAAATTGCACTGTGGCGATTGATGCTTTTTTCACATACACTGCATGCACATCAGAGAATTCTCAGGGCAAAACCACTGGCTGCTTTGTAGTTTGAGGTGGGGCAGGGAGGATACACAATTTCTTGAAAGAATGCCATTGTTTTACAAAGTACTCCACGGGGAATATTTCTTTGCATTCTGCCCCAAATTTCCCACCCTTCATGTTTACTTCAAATGCTGGTATGCAGATTAACACTGCTTTAACTGCCTTAATTTAAAAAAGAAAAAAAAAAGCTTCATCTTGATGTGTTGAGTTGAATGTCTTCTTTGGTATCTGTGTTATCTTTTTATGCATGAAAGATTCGTCCATAAGCTTCTCCCAGCTGGAATCTGAAATTATGGAGTCCACAAACAAGCTTGCTTCCTTTCCTTACGTTTGTGTAAACTAAAGCCAGGCCTTAATTCATGGAGTGGGGGGATGGGCTCAATGGTCTTCCTGAGATATCTAGAACTATGGTTAAAAAAATAACCCAGAAGATCCACAGGTTTCCAACTCCTGACATGAAGAATACTAATACCAAACATTGTCTATTTTATTCATATGTACAATGATATATATATAATATTGTGTAATGAATAAATAAAGGTATTTCTGTTTGCATCAAAAAAATAAAGGCAGTCAGCTTGACAATACAATGTTTTCCTGCTGAAAAGAAGAAGAAAAATCTCCAAGTTAGCAACCAAGATGGCAGAAAATCTTTCCACTTTCTCACCAAGTAGCTTGTTTTGTTTTGTTTTTTGGTTTTTCCCTTTCCAGCCTTTCTCTAGCACTATTTTACAAATGTTGATAGTCTTCCCTAGAGTGAAACACTCTTTGGGGCAAGCCACAGAGAGATTTGTTGAAATGTCACCACGAAGCTTCATTCTAAAGATGTGGCTCATTTAATCGCTAGCTTTCCAGTTAAAGGGGAAAAAAAAAGCTTTATACATTTCACAAATACATTCATTTTCCCTTTGACTTTCTGGGTTTTGTCTGAGAACTAAGATATTCAGATTTTCCAGACATAGCTGCAGCAGTCTAAGGGATTTAACCATCAGCCAAATCTGTGTTGGTCATAATAAAGAGGCACCTCAAGACCACTATGGGCTTTTGTCCTCAAACCTCAACTCTAGTTCCAAGCTGACCTGTGTCACCTTCATTATTGTCAACCTCAACACAGAATGATACTAAGTTTTATAAGTTCTCGCTCCTACTCATCAAAGATGTGCACAAAAAAATTAAGACCAGTCTTCTCCTGTCCTTCAATTTCCTTAATTCATGATGAAGGGTCATTAGTTGAAAAGGGAGCATCCCTGTACTTAAAAGTGCCTGGGAAAATGTGAATGGGAAGTTTGTTGTTGTTAGTTGCCGAAGTCGTGTCCGACCCATCACGACCCCATGGACAATGTTCCTCCAGGTCTTCCTGTCCTCTACCATCTTCTGGAGAATGGGAAGTTAAGATGAGTTAAATTCTGTGCAGAGAGGGCAGTCGGAGCAAGGATGAAATGGGTATCTGTCTTTGGAGATTCTCAGTCATCCAGGTCATGATTGTCCCAAAGATGCTTTTTCAAAAGGACAGACTGAATTCTTCACCCTTCTTCAGAACCAAAGAAGCTTCTTTGATGAGAAGCGAAACGTCTTCAAGGAAAAACAAAGGGAGTCCAGTTGCCATTTGAAAAAGCATCTTTGGGACAAGGATGAAAATGGTTCTCGCCAATAGGAAAATGACCTCTCTTCATCCCAACATTGCAGGGCTCAACAATTTGAATTATAAATGTGAGTCGCTGGTTCCAGAGGTCCTACATCTGAATTGACAAAAATGGGCCCAAATTCTGAATAGTGTGATATTACAGAGGTCTTTAATTCAGGAGTAGTACAAAGAAGTGATTATGAGCTTGTCATCGCTGCAAAGTTGCAATCAATACATTTTGATTACTGTAGTGATTTTGAAAGATGACCTTGATCTTCATTTTTTTTTCATTTGTTTAATGATGGTTAATGATGTCTTTATAGAGCAGATGGGGAGAGTCCTGCAGTGTTAGCTTTTGAATATTTTGGATTTGTGCAATGCAGATGATTCTGCCTCACCGGGCAAAGGATGACTTCGAACACATCAGTAATAAATAATGTTTTACATCCGGTTGTCTGCTGGGTCCTTATTGCTATCAGCGTACTGATTTTGATGGGGGCGGGGGAGAACCCATGAATGTCAAAGGAAAATGGCGGCAGCAGAGAAGCGATATTCAAGAAGCTCATCTGGTATTTGTAGTTTGAAGTGGCAACTTCACTCTGTGTAACGCCAAGGATTTTACATGTGTGCTGGGAAGAAAATGTCCTTTTTCATGCACGGGTATCAGTCTTTTCCAGCCAGTCAGGCAGGCAGATCCTGTCAGTTAAAAAAACTCTTGACTGGTGGGGTCCAGGAAGTCCATGATAGCTGGGTTCCAATATCTCAGGGGTTGCCACAAAGAAGAGGGAGTCAAGCTATTCTCCAAAACACCTGAAGGCAGGATAAGAAGCAATGGATGGAAACTAAGCAAGGAGAGAAGCAACCTAGAACTAAGGAGAAACTTCCCGACAGAACAATTAACCAGTGGAACAACCTGCCTCCAGAAGTTGTGAATGCTCCAACACTGGAAGTTTTTAAGAAGAGATTTGGACAGCCATTTGTCTGAAATGGTATAGGGCAGGGGTCTTCAAACTTGGCCCTTTTATGGCTTGTGGACTTCAACTCCCAGAATTCCTCAGCCAGATGACCTTTAAGGTCCCTTCCAACATCATCATCATCATCATCATCATCATCATCATCATTATTATTATTATTATTATTATTATTATTATTATTATTATTATTATTATTATCTGCCATTGCCCTTGCCCTATGGAATAACCCCCCCTCCCCGCAGAGGTGAAGCCGTCCCCCACTCTCCTGGCCTTCCAAAAAAGGATTAAAACATGGCATTGCATGAGGAGCCCCAAGGAACATGCAGTCCTGGGGTTCGTTGGTGCCACAGGAGCCTTCCCTTCCCTTTTGTCAACTAATTATTAAGAGTATTTAATGATTCTTGTCTCCCTAAAAAAAAATTATATATATATTTTTAAAAATTTTAATTCTAAAATTTAACTTTCACATTTTAATTTTTATACAGGTAGTCCTTGACTTACGACCACAACTGAGCCCCAAATCTCTGCAGTTAAGTCAATCATTTGTTAAGTGAATTTTGCCCCCATTTTACCACCTTTCTTGCCTCCGTCGTTAAGTGAAGCACTGCAGTTGATAAGCTAGTAACCCGGTTGTTAAGGGACTCCGGCTTCCCCATTGACTTTGCTTGTCAGAAGGTCGCAAAAGGAGACCACGTGACACCCCCCCCCCCCGGGACAATGCAACTGTCATAAATAAGAACCAGCTGCCAAACATTTGAATTTTGATCATGTGATCATGGCAACGCTGGAAAGGTCTTAACTGTGAAAAACGGTCGAAAGTCACATTGATCGGTGCTGTTGTAACTTTGAAAGATCGTTAAACTAACTGTTGTAGGTCGAGGAATATCTGTGTTTGTTTTTAATATTCTCATGTCTTGTTGAACACCACCCAAGGCACCCTTTCGAAGGAGATGAGCCGTTCAGAAACATGAAATACAAATAAATAAATAATAGATCTAACTAGGAAGGAAGTACCCTGATCCTCTTCGTCACCTCCAGCTTTCCTGCCCTACGATATTCAACACCCCAAACTCTGGAGTTCTTCCAGGAAAAAAAATATGGTCCTCCACAAACATGAAGTACCCCAACCCACCAGCACCATCACCTCCCAAGCTTGTCTTGTAAGACCCTGGCTGAGGCTGGCGTGCCATCTGCTGTGTCTACACAAATAAACTGGCATGTCAAGTGACTGA